CCTCTAATTAGCTAGAAATATGCATAATTTTTCTGTGGTCCTCTAAATCTGCATATATTACTAATAAAAGTAAACATGCGGTGTGGGCCAAGTCTCCCTCGATCTCTATAAACCCGGTCAAGAGTCAAGCAGGCGATCACAAAAGAGAGAAAAGCGATGCTGCCTAACAAGCTACCTATGGTCTATACCCAGCCAGGTTTTTGTTTTCTCTTCTTGGAGAAATTAAATTTTCAGTCTTTTTCTGAAACAAATTATTAAATTTGGTAAGCCTGCATTGCATAAATCTACGTAGTGGTGTGTGTGGATGTATTATTAATTAATTAATTAATGTGTCGGCTTTACCAATAAATTTTGACTAGTTTTCAACTTTGCAATGAAGGTAATTAAGCTGCTGCAGCTGGCTAGGCCGGCAATATAAATCGGCAAGGAGACAAAAAACAAGAGCTCTCTGCCCCTTTGGCTTTCATAGATGCTTTAATTTGGTTGTTTGTATGGTATACAAACATGAACCAACTCCTCTAAATTAAATTAGGTTGTATTGTACGTAGCACCGAAGACAATATGGAACCAGCTGGAAAAGAGGACGGTGAAGTGAAGAAACTTGATATCATTTACTTCCTTACCCGTATGGGCCACATGGAGCATCCCCACCTCCTTCGCGTCCAACATCTCAACGGCAACAGTGTCTATCTTCGAGGTACTCATTTAATTTCCATTTAATTCGATCATATAAATGAAATTGATTTTTGTTTGTTGAGCTCAACTGATCTTGCAGTAGTTTTAATTTGATCATTGGTAATATCACATAAATTAATTCAAGACGTTAAGAGATGGCTAGCTGATTTGCGAGGAAAAGAGATGCCAGAAGCCTTTTCTTGGTCTTGCAAGAGGTTGGTGCCTTACATTGATTATTTTTACCCATCACCATAAATTAATTAATGCTACGTACATCTGGTAATTCAATTTGGAATGAATGAACTCATGATGAAGGAGGTACAAATCCGGTTATGTTTGGCAAGACTTGATGGACGCTGACCTAATTATCCCGGTCTGCGACAGCGAATATGTCCTTAAAGGCTCCCAACTTATTCCTAATAACAATGTTCCCTTAGGTAAACTAATGATTTCCCATATATATCTGATTCATCCTTCTAATCAATTACAAATTATATATATTTATATGTTCACCTGTTTATATAACTCGCACCATATATATATATATATATATGTTATAGATGCTACTCGGCATTTCCAAAAGCGAGCAGTTGATGATGAGCAAGCATCAATGGATCATGCCCCAGCAGCTTCCAACCCATCCTCTCAAGTCTACAAACACTCCCCTCAATACGGTTCAGAAAGATCGACGTTAACGGAGGATGATTCGATGGAGCATGAACTAGTCACCAGCAAGCTGGAAACTTCCCATCTGTTGAATAATGATAATTTCTCTTTATCTTCCAACACAAAGTCACCATCATGCACCAAGACCAAGAGCAGCAAGACCAATTCGAGTGGGACTGGAGCATCTCATATTTTTCGGAATTTGCTAACCTGTGGTGCTGTTGACACCAACGACGCAGTGCTGGTGGTTCTTAATCGTTCCACTAAAATTACCAATTCTGGGATGTGTAAAGGAGACAAGTTGAGAGGGTCTCCCACAGCTTGGACTCAACAACACCATACTGCCTGGTATGTACGTATACTAGCTCCACTAATTATTAATTTACAAACATTCTTCTTTCACAGACATAGCTAGCTAGTATTCCATCTGTGACTGAATAAAGTAATGGTTCAAGGGATTCAAATTCAAAAAAGGATAATAAAGAGGCAGGATTTGGCAGCCCAAAGGTGGTTTCTGCAGCAAAGGTGATTTCTGCAGCATATAGGCCAGTGGGAGAACCGAGTTGCTCGTAAGAGACCCTAGCTATTAATTAATTAATTAATTAATTAACACTCTTGATCATTACTAGCTAGAGCAGTAATTACTGCATAATACTGTATATAACATCTCACTGACAGCTTGGTGAATTATTAATTAAAACTGCAGGCAATGTGGAAAGCCCTTCAAGCCTGAGAAATTGCACTCGCACATGAAGTCCTGCAAAGGAATGAAAACCTGTGCCAAGACTTCGTCAGCTTTTGTTAAAAAGACACCAGTCAATTCCTCCTATCAACAGTCAGCTACAGGCTATTTCCTTACCAATTGAGTCCTCCCAGTCCCTGATGCTTGCCAGGGACCAAAAGGTTTCTTGATTTTCAGCCAATTTTCTGTAGCTGACATATAAAAGAAACATATAGTTCAATTCGTATGAAAAAGCAGCCATCGTGCATAATAAATCTAATTAAATTTATATGTTCTATTGTTTTATTCTCTTTTCCTTGAGTTAATTTTAAACTGTACAAATAAAACGTAACATGAGGTTACTACTACCATTACTGCTACCTTTGGCCATGGTTTTCTAGAAGCTCTATTATTTTTTGGATGAATCTAGAAGCTCTATTTTTCTTTTTCAAGTAAAATAACTTTTTTATATTACCTTTTAATACAACTTTCACATGTTATTAAATGAGTAGATGCTTTTAATATCACATATTTCACATGAATTAAAAGAATCAATTATCTAAATAACACATTAAATTATACTAAAAGGTGATACAAAAATATTATTTTCAAAGCATTTCCCTTTCAAATATATCAATCTTTCTTTTCTTTTTCTTTCTAAATTCCTCACCACACGAATCAAAATTTGAATTTATGATTATCAAGTTGAAACTTCAAATTCTTAACTAATTGAATTACTTTTTTATAAGTAAAAGACTATCATATAAATTTATATTGGGTTTTAAACATAAAACAAGTATCTAATTTATTAATAGGTCTATTAAGAGTACAGGATAAAAAGTAATTATTAATTAATAATTGTTAGTTTATTCATTTTTAATTAAAATATAAGTTTTGATTTTAGTTTTAAAATGAATAAATAAGAAACTATCATGCGATATTTATAATTAAAATAAAAATTAATTTAATTTTTTAAAAATAAATAATAATGATAATTACATAACCATTATTTTTCATCATGTGCCCTAAACCTTTAATTGATTGGCTGGTCTTCTAGAAGCTCTTGCTACAGGCAAATTAAACCCAAAGCTGGCATTTTTCCTTCTGCTGTGATTGTTAAGTCTTCTAGCATCCAACAACAAATACCCTGTTCATTGTTTCACATGGATATTTTTGAATGCGAAAAATGCAGAAGTATGATAATTTGTCATAAAACTAAAAAGGGCATAGGAAAGAATGAATTCACCTACTTTATCAATCCTAATGGAGAACACAGGGTGTTTGGTACGGTTTCAGCTTTCGCCTTCTTCTTCTGCCGGATTTACCTGCAAGAGAGGGACAATGCGTCGGCGAAAGGACATTTCACCACCCCCTTGATTGCTTTGTAAATAAGTAAACTGCCTTAAACACCCCTTTCAAGCCCTCTCGTGTATCTTAATTACCCCCAAAGTGTTCAACCTACAAACAGCTGCTTCTGCTTTTGCAACGCTTTGATTTCTACTCCCATCTATAATGGGAAGCGAGTATAAGCGCAACTATGATATTACCATGTCCAAGAGAACAAGGAAACCCTTGAATTTGGAAGATGCTCCACATGCCTCCATTGTTAATGCAAATGGAAGTCCTCCTTCCCCACCAAAAGTTGTTCAAGACGAAGACAATGAACGTAGAAGCCTGAAGCAACTCATCAATGGCGACTGGAAGGCAACGGAGGAGACATCTGGTGAGGAGAGCAGAGGAAGGAGTTCGCTTGGTCACCACTTCACCCAAGAAGAGAAGCAGCTTCAGGTTCAGGTAGTGAAGAAGCAGCACCAAGATGGGAAATTCAAAGGGATGATGAGCCGCTATGCCAAGGTTTTGCGCCATATGATCAAAGTCAAGCGTGAACCACGCATTGGATCTCAGAAAAAGCATCTCCTCCGCTTAACAATGCAGGGTTAAGATATAGCAGAACAGAGTTTCTCATCTCATAGTTTGGTATCATAAAAATATGTTTATATGCCTTACTGTGTCTGGGGGTTACAGTTAAAATCATCTTTATCTGTCTATATTATTGTCTACAGAACAGCAGGTAAACAGTAAACTACTTCTGACTCTCTTTCCCCTGTTTTCTCGAAGCTCCCACTCTTTTCTTTTCTCGCTTTTACTGTTCTATCCACAGATGAAAATCTTCACACGAATTCAAAGAAAAGGTCAATATAGAATTATCCATGATATTCCAATCATACTGAAATCAAAAATCAAGTTTCATACTTTAAATTGGATTTCTACATCTAAGTATAAACGTGTTAAGTATCCAATGTCAAGGATTCAGCGCAGACTGTCTAGAGGCATAACATCAATGGCTTCCCGGAAAAATGGACAAATCACCTGCTGATCTCTGCAACCTGACCTGCAAATTAGAAGAATGGTATTGCTGGGCTGCAGCTTTCCTGGTTTAATAATTGCCTCAAAAGTCTCACTGCGCCCAATAAAACATGTTGCGTTTGTTTTCAGCAGGTAGGCACTTTCCAGAAATCATTCCAGAAGCGGTTCCATCAATGGTTTGGTAAGTCGGTAGTGAAGTTTCATTGTATAAGTGACAGCTACTCCAGCAAGTGAACAAAATGCTGGAACAAGACCTAAACCATATCTTGTCACTGAAATTGAGGCATTTGTAGAATAGTTTCCAACAACTCTAGTTGAGGTACCTGCATCAGAATACCTTTGGTCAAATTTAAATTTCGGATTGGGGGACAGGTAGCATTTCTTAAGTACTTCAGATTTGAAATTTATTTGTAGATCTGCAAGCCTCTTATATTCCTCAATAAATGCCATTTAGTTGGTTAATGCAAATTATGTCAAGGAAGAAAATGGTATTGGTATGCGCTGCCCTCTCAGAAATGAGGAAGGACATGTAAAAGAGTTGGCATTGAAGAGAGAAGTGGAAATTGGAATCTGAAGGAGAACATTTGTTTGATAGAAAATCTGCCTCTGTTATTTAGGTCTGGATGGGCCATGAGGAAATGGGGAATGATAGGGGAGAGAAGCGGGCATTTAAATGAAGGACAACTTACTTTGAAATGACTGAAGAATAAATAATGCAAGCCCGCATGAAACTTTATCCAGGAAACTCAGTGATCCACAGACAAATGCACAGCCATTGAGATCTTGACCAATTAGAACACTCTGCATGCTTACTGCAGTCACCTATGGTCCATTAAAAACACAAATCACAGTATCAACAAATAAAAGATGAGGTCAAAGCAACAAGTGTAAACAATTTTTTTTTTTTTCCTTTTGAAATCTCAATTTTGTAAAAGTAGATAGTATGACCAAAATAGACTCCAAGCATTAGAAATGAAGCACTGTTATGCTGTGGGTGATCTAACTCTGACTTTTAATATGTTTGACATGACAGCCAAGTAAACAAGAGATGGTATCCATTAATCCTTATTCAAAATAAAAAATTTCATGTTTTCATATCATTCAAAGAATGCCAAAAATAAAACTCTAAGCTTTTTATGAAATTTTTAATGCCAACATATGGCTGGCAGGCTGAAAAATACATATGGATGAATAGTGGCTAGAGGACTCCAATGCCATGCCAACCAGGCTTTATGATCAGGCACTACATGCTGATTCTCACAGGTAAAGCATGCTTAAAAGTCACAATCAACATTTAGGACAGAAGTCTGATTGAGTCCATCTAAGCAATCCACCACCGCAGAATGGACATAAACATTGCACTAGAGGGAATAGCAACTAAAGAATAGAATTTCCAACATACCGTCATTAATGCATTTGCTATTCCAATAAATATTGATATTGCATATATAAAAGAGCTCAGGCTCCTAGTTAAGAGGAAAATAGCTGCACCACAAAACATCCAAAGGATTCCCCCGGCAGAATAGTAGGCCTTCAGGCGTTGGCCATTCCATGCAATCCCCTACAATGCAGAACAGCAGTACTTAAATATAGATAGAGCCATAATTAGATGAAGAAATACAAAGAGAACAAAGTTTCATAAGGTGGACCTGAAGAACAACAGATACAATGAAGCTGCAAATGTAGATAATGGCAGGAATCTGATTCCATACACGAGACAAGGCAATTAGCCAAGCAATGATCTTGAAAATCATATTTTTAACACTAGAAGGAAAATCCTAACGATGTCTCTCCAGTTTCCACGTACCAAAGCTTTAGCTGATTGGGCCATCCGCAAATCATTAATTACATAAAATGCAAGATAAGCCTGAACAAAAAGCCATCTTAATGTTAAAATACATGTTCTCTGAATAAGAATTAATTTTTCACCAGTATAAGTAGTGGAAATTTTATTTGAAGCACCAGAAATCAAGAAAAAAGAATGGATGCTTACCTGTGAAACATTTAATACTAATCTTGTAAGCACATAAACAAGAGCAACTTGATAGTATAGAACTTTCTGGAACCAGTAAGCCCATGAAATCCTTGCATGGCAATCTCCTTGTACACCTATTTTTGATCTACATAAGAATAAGCAGAACATCCATTATCATAATCAAACAGCCTTAAGTGTCCAATTCATCAAATCATGCATAAAAATTCAGTACAGAATGCACTGATTTTCATTTTAGGAGTCAAATGAAAATGTTAAGTGGGAACCACACATAGATGAAATAACAAAGGAACATGTGGCTTAAATATAAGATGAGCTACTCCACCTATTGCCAATTGGTTTTAGGTTGGATGCTCGCCTTGTGTTTCAGCCACATGTCCAATTTTCACAGAAAAATCAGGAAAATGTATGGGTTGTCTCAACTAACCTGTCAAAAATATTCCATTTTTACCCGAGTGTTAAAGCTCATTTTTATAATATGCAAATAATAGATCATACATGATCAAAACATTCACAGAAATGGAAAGAAAAATTAAGACAACATACCTTGGCTCTTTTGTTCCAAGATGAAATACACCCACAAAGCAGCATCCAATAAAAATTGACACGTATGCAATCCAACGATACTGCTTGTAGGAGACCAATCTAACAATTAGATATAAAGAGAAGCTCTAAAGCGTAAAACTACAACTCATTGTCAAATGTGTTTACCTGATTCTCAATATCATCATGTGTTTCTGCACTACTGACATCAAATACTATTAAAGCAATTCCATATAGGCTGAGATTTGCAACCTGGATTAATAAAAGAATTTACATCAGCTACAGTCAAATCATGTGTTAACCCAAGAAGTAGAAGAGCTGACCATTGTAAAAGCATTTCGACAGCTTGCCAGCACTACTCTGCTTGTTGAGTTGAGAGTGATACAATTCACCATAGACCTTCAACCAAAAAATTATAATCAGTAGTGTGAGTTTCATGGATTCCAAAGTCATAAATGTGCTCCTTTAGGCAGAGAATGTTAATTTTTCAGTTAATCTGATTAGACAATAAATTTTTTGCTCATATTGCATGATGGTTTTTGCACAAATATCAAGCATTTTATCTCCAGAGAGTCAAGGCATTATATAGTAACAAGAGAGCCCATCCTGACACAGGAGCCCCAAAATAAACCGACAGGTAAGAATCTTGGAACCAGCCCAAGAAGAATCCTATTATTATTGTTGAAGACATAACTTTGCTTGCATTCTTCTCAGTTGGAATTTCTCCAGCCACATGTGCACTAAAGCTGAAGCAGGAGCTCAACCTCCTTCCCTCCAAATGCATAATTAAACACCAAAATTTGAACATTTATATCATGTTAACAGGACCTACATGTGTGAAACCTGAGTAGCAGCCCATCCCACATTAAAAATTGCAGCAAATGTACTGTAGGAAATAGTCTCTACTGTCGATGAACACGTAGCAAGGATTTTGCAAGGTAAGCAACCGCCAAAAACAGAAGAAAATGAAACAGCAACCAAAATAGATCCTGCACCATGCCATATTTTGAAATGCCCAAACCTGTCTATCTATCAAGTAAAAGAAAACAGAAGGAAAAAGTCATCATCCTGGCTTTAATTTTATTTTAATTTTTTTAAATGAAATCATCCTGAATATTAGAAGAGTATTAATTATATGATTCTAACTATCAAAGCAAGTTTCAGTTGACATGTATGTGCATTGACAACATTGAACAAGACTTGACATCAAATTACCAGTTCACCAGCAAATATGGTTGCAAATCCATCAGCTATCTGACCTGAAAGCATTACGGTAGCAGCATTCCTATAATAAAAATGAAAGGTAAATTATACAAAATGAATGACATATTATACACAGAATTGCATACGTACATAGTAGAAACTCTAATTCGAGAAGCCGACAAATAATAGAAAGAAATCCAGAAGAACAAAAGGCGCAAACCAAGTCATGACCAGTTCTTAGATAAAAACATCAGAAAGCCATATAGTTCCAATAGATTTGAGATTTGTTGCTAAATATATATATATAAATATACACACACACACAACGACATTAAAATTCTTGTCAGTAGTACTAAATACATTAATTTCCAAGCCAAAACTAACTAGAATTCTACCATGCTTTGCACTTAAAAGTTAAATCTGAAT